GGTTCATTTCTCTCTAATCCTTTTTTTACAATTTATTAATTCTGAGTCAACAATCGAACAATAATCGGGATGTGTTCAAAAAGTAAGCTGCCAAAAAAGTCTGTGAGGCATGGGAATGTGAAATAATCGATCCCATTTTTTTAGGTAGAGGCCTCTCGGAAGGATTACAAGGGCAGCAAAAATGACTTTTTGTGGATAAACTATATGAGCAAAGAAAGAGGAGTTGATGAGTGCGCAATTGAGAGAACGGGTCAGCTTGTCGCGCATTCGAGTTTCCAGCCTTCGAGGGGATTGGCTTGCTTCATTAGCGCCATTGGCATTTTCTTTAACATCCAGTGTCATGATATGGCTACCCTCAGAGAGTTTCCCAATTTGTCTCTGTTTTTTTTGTGACTCAAAGCGGCCTTCTTCCCATGCAAAAACTTGTGCCCTGACATGGCCCAGAACCTACTGTAAACTTAAGTACGTCATCAGGAGCCCCTCACCTTTACTTAGTCCTCTTTTTTGAACTTTACAACTGTTTTGCGAATCCTGAGCAACATCATGGTAACTTCAGCAACCGTAGGGCAGACAAAAAAAAACGAAAACAGACACCTTCCTAGCTATTATTGAAAGAGCAAAGTTCTGTTAATTCCAGCAAAATATTTGGAGTAATCATTCTCGTTCCACCACAGCAGAAACCATTGACAAAACCTTTGATATGGAAACTTCCCTAAAATCCTTAGCATCGTGTTCTCGGATTACCTTAAAGTTGTTTTCACCACCAATTCTGTTACTTCTTATTCGCCTGAGATTTCGCTCGCTGGCCATCTAGTTCAAACAGATTTACTAACGGTCTCCAAAGACTACTATTGAACATGTTCCAGTCCCCAAAATTACCCACACCTCCCTCTACTCCTCATCCGATACTTTTAATGCATTGTTCTCTCTGGAATGGACTCTCATTTCCCTCCCCAATTTATTCCGGGCAACGGAAATGAGAGCTCTACAAGGGCAGTAAAACCGTACAAGTCAGCCTGGCATTCGCATAGTGGGAATAACAAAGGTCGGTGTCACCTGCGTGAGTTTTACCCTTCGACATGGCTGAGCTCTACTGAACAGCAACTAATCACTAATTATTGATTGTTTCACGAGAAAAACGAATCATCAGGAATATAAAATCCCGACCTTCGGAGACCAACAAGATCTCTTCTTCTAATAATTTATTATGGCAAAGCGGTAACTGCGAGATGAAAAAAAAAACTCAAAAAAGGAATCGAGTCGTTCACCTGGAAAGGTATCCAGTAGGTGTTTTGAACCCAACAGTAGTTCTCCGTGTACTGCTCCATTGCTCGGGTGAACTGTGCCGGCACAAAACATTCTATAGGGTGCCCGACTGAAATTTACAAAATTAATCAAGGGATTAACGCTGATAAATTGAAGTGATTGGAGATGGGATGATTTTGGTCGTATAGGAGAATTAGAGTGATTAGGCTTGCAGACAGAAACTAAAATCAAAACTTTCTATTAAAATATGTTGGGGACTGAAACTAGACCATCAAACGAAATTTTGAGAAGGAGTGTCTTTACGTGATAAGAGGAACACGGAAAAAACTTTTCAAAGAAGAAAACTGTCAACTTTCCAAATTCAAAAAAACGACGATCTTGCCACCTACTCAATCTTTTCAAAACACAAGACACTGGACCTAGGATTCTCCTCTGAAGACATGAAATTTATAGATCG